GGGAGAGTTTGGTCACTCTGAACCTACCCTAAGAGACCTGTGTCTCACATGACACATTATGAATCACACCTGTCTCAGTGAAAATTCATGGTTGCCAAATTTGGCCATTTATCATAGATGCTCCAAAGAACCTCGCCAAAAAGGGGTGTTTTATAGCCCCTTTTTGGATAACCATGTTAGTCAACCCGACAAGGCTCAAATGAAAGCTTATGGTAAGGCAAACTTCCTAATTTGCAACCATGAATTTTCACTGAGACAGGTGTGATTCATAATGTGTCATATGAGACACAGGTCTCTCAGGGTAGGTTCAGAGTGACCAAACTCTCCCCCAAAATGACGGGGGAAAAATTAAGAGATGCCTCCCCACAAAAAAGAGTTGCCAAATTACCAAAATTAAAATATTGATCTGCGGTTTGCGCCAAAGTGGAGATGTTGCATGAGTGAGGAATTTGCGATTTGACTATTGATTCTTATGTAGAAGTTCGCGAGAACACGATGATGCCACTGGTTTTCACTGAAATCAACTCCCAAGCTCAAAAAAAGCTCTCAAGCTGAGGCCAAAATGGAGGGGATATCCCATGCTATCCTGAGAGTCCACATCTACATCAAGACAAACTCTCCATGCGAAGATAGGGAGCAAGTACATTGACAGGGTTGCCGCTTTATTTGGGAACTCTAAAACTGAAAACACGGCAACCCTGCTAAAGCATTAGCTCCCTATTTTCACATGGAGAGTTTGTCTTGATGTAGATGTGGACTCTCAGGATATCGTGGGATATCCCCTCCATTTTGGCCTCAACTTGAGAGCTTTTTTGGAGCTTGGGAGTTGATTTCAGTGAAAACCAGTGGGATCATCGTGTTTCTCGCGAACTTCTACATAAGAGTCAATAGTCAAATCACAAATTCCTCACACATGCAACATCTCCATTCTGAGTTTTCAATGTTCTTTCCAATGAAGTATCACAATATAGGAGTTAACATTTGAAAAAAAAGAAGTAGCCCCCCCCCCCCCCCCCC